GTATGGTGGTGTGACTTATAAACGTAATTAAAACATTAGATGATTATGGAAATCAATCAATCTGACTCTTCTTTCCTTTTCTATAAATTTTATATGAAATACTATATATTGAAAATAAATTACTAGTTCTTAATGTTTTCTTCACGAGCAAAACTCCAATGAAATTAGAATTATCTTGACATGAGTATTGTATATACGACCCAAACATATTAGTGTTTGAGGATCATTTGGGAAGGTCTTAAGAACAAACCTACTCGAGGACTTCAGCAAATACATGTCAGTTCATTCTACATTTTCTTTGTGATATGATTATGAGTTATTTCAGCTATGTAGCGTGTGGTGATCCAACATTGGCTCGAGGCATAATGAATTAAGGAGACTTAGTATACAAAAGAGTTAATGTAATCTATTCTAGTCATATTTCATATTCTTATCGAGATTAGGTTCTAGCTTGTATGTATACATATATACTCTATACTTTGTATATGAATAAACAAGACTTTTTCTCCAAATTATTCCAGGGCATTGATCTTATCTACCCTTTGTTACCTTGAAACAACAAGAACATCTTGCGTCCTTGAACCAATAACCATCTTTCGAGTTTAAAAATGCATTCATGCCTTGGAGAGTTGGGCACTTATTGTAATGCTAAATTGCTAATAATGTTTTCAAGTGTCAAATTTTGTATTCACACTAGTGTATATAGTATCGTATACTGAACAAGTCTTCTTGCGATTAACTATGTATTTGACTTTTAATTATTTTATTGTCGGCTAAAAGCCTATAAGCCATTTGACTTTAAATACTGTTTCCTACTTTTGTCGATACGCGTATAAGTAGTATGGTCACGTAGAGTCTCGTTTTCAGACATCATTGCTCTGCTTTCGATAATTCATCCACTCTAAAATTCTTCTCAACAGAATTGTTCCAGTTCATGCAATGGATTCTTTTTCACTGTAAGTACTACTATTACTCTCTTCAATTTCTTTCAATGTTGTGATATCAATCTAAGTCCACATGAGAATATTAGACATTTAGGTGTCTAATATAGAAGTCAAGTCCAATACTAATAATATGATGCATTTTGGGAAGAAACACAAAAACAAATATGTGAAGGCTTATCCACATGGTCAAAAATGGATAATATCATAGTAAAACCACGAATGGAAAGAATAAGACTTGGTTTGCAGAGCCCAATATAGATTTTGAAATGATTAAGTTCTAATAATAAACATTATAGGTGTGGATATCAAAAGAGAAAAAAAAATTGACGAAAAAGAAATTGATTAGAAAAAACAAAAAAAGTCATGTTATATATGTTTTATGGCAGATTGAACAGTTTGTTTTATGGTGTGTCAAAAGGGCAAATTCTTCTAAAATTTTTTTCTCTTACCTATACGGTTTAAATATTCATCAAACAGTTTACCACTTAACATTTCAGTTATAACATACTATTATTGAGCTAAATCACCCAAAATTTAATTTGATTTCCATATAGCAACCTGATTAACAATAAAAAAGGACCCTAAATCATCATCTGTCTCCTTTCGACAATTGGTCCATTTTAACTCTCTTCCCCACAAATTTGTTTCCAATAAATAGTCCCTTTTTAACTTTCTTCTTCACAGATTTGATCGAGCTCGTACAATGGATTCTTCTTCTAAATTGTAAGTATTACCA